TTCCTCAGTGTTTGTTGTTATGTCTCCCTTTTCATTTCTGATTTTGTTAATTTGGATACTGTCTCTGTATCTTTCAGTTAGTTTGGCTAAGGGTTTGTCTATCTTGTTGATTTTCTCTAAGAACCAGCTCTTGATTTTGTTGATTCTTTGTATTGTTCTCTTTGTTTCTAATTGATTGATTTCAGCTGTGAGTAAGCTGTTCCTTTTAGGTTGTGCCACTAATGCTACAACCCTGACAGAACTGAACCAGATTGCTAGTGTATCCGTGAAGTGTTTGTGTGTGTGGATAGAGCTGCTGTTGCTGACCTGTGAACTGAACTGCTGATTTCCTGACAGCACAGATGAGATTTTTTCCAAAGAACCTTTCTAAACAGGTCCACTTCCCCCATATCCTTTCTTTTCTACGACCTCTGGTGGGCAGTGGGATAGAAGGGAGGTTAAAGCATTTAAGAACCATCATTAAAAGTAAGCTTGGAAAAAAAATTAAAGTTACACCTGAGTTTGATTATTTCCTGCTGCCTACTCATCTTGGGTGTGTTTTCTTCTTCATTTTTTTTTCTCCTAGAGCTTTCCAGTGCACTTTTAAATTGTTAATTTGGGAATGCTCTAAATTTCGTTATGAAGGTGCCTAGTGCTATGAACTTTCCTGTTAGCACTGCTTTTACTGTGTCCTATAAGTTTGGATATTTTGTGCTTTCATTTTTATTGAATTCTAGAAAGTCTCTTCTTTCTTTCTTTCTTTCTTTCTTTCTTTCTTTCTTTCTTTCTTTCTTTCTTTCCTTCTTCCCTCACTCAATGTTCATTTAGTAGAAAATTGTCTTGTTTTCATGAGTTGGTAGGTTTTCTTTTGTTTCTGTTGTTGAAGTCCAGGTTTAATTCATGATGGTCTGATAAGATACAAGGAATTATTTCTATTTTATTGTACCTGTTGACACTTATTTGGTGACTGACTGTATGGTCAATTTTGGAGAAGGTTCCAGGAGATGCTGAGAAGAAAGTATAGTCATTTGTGTTTGGGTGAAATGTTCTATAGATATCTGTTAGGTCCATTGGATTTATAACCTTGGTTAGTTTCATTTCTCTATATAGTTTCTGTCTCCATGACATGTCCTTTGTGAAAATGGTCATTGAAGTCTCCAATTACTAATGTATGGTGTTCAATGTGTGATATAAGCCTTAGTAATGCTTCTTTTACGAATGTGGGTGCCCTTGAGGTTGGGGCATATATTTTCCCAATTGAAATATCATCTTGGTTGATTTTTTCTTTAATGGGGAAGTCTCTTTCCCCATGTCTTTTGATTAATTTTGGTTGAAAGTCTATTAGTTATAAGAATGGCTTCTACAGATATTGCTTCTTGGGTCCATTTGCTTGGAAACTTTTTCCAGCCCTTAATTCCAAGATAATATCTATCTTTGTTGCTAATGTGTGTTTCTCAAATGCAGCAGAATGATAAATCCTGTTTTTGCACCTACTCTATTAGCTTGTGTCTTTTTATTGGGGAATTGAGTTCATTATTATTGAGAGATATTAATGACCAATAATTGTTAATTCCTCTAATTTAGATCTTGGTGGTGGTGACGGTGTGGTGATAGTGGAGGTGATAGTGGAGGTGATGGTGATGGTGGTGGTGGTGTGTGTGTCTGTATGTGTTTGTGTGTGAGTGTATGTGTGTTTATGTGTGTTCCCATTATTGTGTTTTCAGCGGCATGTAATTATTTATTTCCTGTGTTTTCTTGTATGTAGTTAACCTCCTTGGTTTGGAGTTTTCCTTCTGTAAGGCTGGGTTTGTGGATAGATATTGTTAAAATTTGGTTTTGTGTTGAACTATCTTGTTTTTTCCATCCACAGTGATTGAACGTTTTTCTGAATATTGTAGTCTAGGTTGGCATTTTTGGTTTCTAAGAGGCTGTAAGATACTCATCCATGCTATAATAGCTTTTACAGTCTCTGTTGAGAAGTCAGGTATAACTCAGACAGTTCTGCCTTTGTATATCACTTAGTCATTTTCCCTTTGCAACATTTAATATTCTTTCTTTGTTGTGTAGATTTGTGTTTTTATTATTATGTGGGAGGGGGATTTTCTTTACTGGGTCTATCTAATTGGTATTCTGTAAGCTTCATGTATGTTTATGGGCATCTCTTTTTTTAGGTTGGGAGAAAATTTTCTTGTATGATTTTGTTGAAAATATATTCTGGTCTTTGTAGCTGGGACTCTTCACCTTCTATTTCTATTATTCTTCGGTTAGGTCTTTCCATACTATCTCAGATTTCCAGATTGTTTTGTGCCAGGAATGTTTTAGATTTAACATTTGCCTGTTGTATCAGTTTCTTCTATTGTACCTTCTACTCCTGATATTATCTCTTCTATCTCATGTTTCCTGTTGGGGATGCTTGAGTCTTTTGTTCCTGTTTTCTTTCCTAGTTTCTCTATCTCCAAGATCCCTTCAGATTGTGTTTTCTTTATTGCTTCTAATTCCATTTTCAGGTCTTTAATGGTTTTAACATTTTTGTACCTTTTAAATTGTATTTTTCTGTATTTCTTTAAGTGATTTATTAGTTTTTTCTTTAATGACCTCTACCTGTTTGACTGTATTTTCTTATATTCCTGTAAGAGATTTATTTATTTCCTCTTTAAAGACATCTATCATCTTTATATGGCTGAATTTAAAGTCATTTTCTTGTCCAGTTGTCTTAGTGTATCTAGGGCTTGCTTTATTGGGACAGTTTTGCTTTGAAGATATCATATCGCCCTGGCTCTTGTTTGTGTTGTTATGTGGGTCTTTAGCCATTCAGTTCTTCCTGGATGTTTCTGGTATGGCAAGTATAGGGAAGGTAGACTCAATCTTGATGTTCAAAGTGTAGCAGGCACTTGGTGGGCAGCTTAGGGCTGATTGTTCTTGATGTAGCAGGCCTAGATGTTCCTTGTTCAGTAGACCTTGGTTTTCTTTGTTTGGTGGTCATGAATGTTCCTTATTACATATGCCTGATGGAGGCTAGCACAACAGTGGCCAGACAGTGGGGCTACATCTTACCTAGATCTTTCATTCTATCACACACACACACACACACACACACACACACACACTCAATCCTGCTATAATAAATACTTCAGGCAAATGAAATTCAGAGAAAAGTTTTCAAATTTTGCAGTAAATGAATGTCAGGAGTCAGATTGTCAATGGAACATAGGCTGGCTCTAAAATTACTTTTGCCTATTTTATTATGACATTGGTTACTTTATCATGGTATTACCTTTGTCTCAGTCCTTACATCTCTTAATTTCTTGATTTATGGTTTGGGAGGTCTTTCTATTCTTGTTGGTGCTTTAAATTTTGTTTAGTTGCATTAATCTCAAAGTATATTTAGATTAGTGTTAAAAGATGCCAATGAGTTCCTGTGTAAGTTCCTAACCAACAACATTGAATGCCTGTCAGAGGCTCTTTCGGGGTAGTTCTAATTTGATATGTGGCAAGTTATACTTTAGGACTTTCATGGAAAATCATTTGAGTCAACCCTCCTTTACCTCAACAGTGATTTTTCATGTCCAATACGTGCCTTTCAACCAACCCTAAGGCCCAGCCTTAGTGACATTGAATTCTGAAGCTTACTTGACTTAAGAAGGAAATAGCTGGAATATTTATCTGGACTCTAAGAGATATTTCCTTTTGAAACAAAACTCTCATTGTTTTGAGTTTCTGAGAACTTCTAACCTTATGTTTTAAATATTTTTAGCATGTGAAATAGCAGTCTAAAGGCTAGAAATATAACGAATCTCCTGCAAAACTTCATACATGAGACATTTGGACTACCTGCGAGGAAATGTGATTTATGAGTATTAATAAAGCCTGAGCCCTCAGAATATGACATTGAATTCATTAAGAATATTGTCTTGTTGGAAATCCTATGCTTGCTTTAAGGCTTTATTGTGGAAAATGGAGGAGTCTAATCATGGAAGGAACTGAAAGGTTATGCCTCTTTTTATGTCTCAGTACTTGAGCAACTGAAAAAGACTCTGTCTCTTTCTTTTCATGTGAGCAGCAGTATTTCTGTTTTGAATAAGCCTCAAGGAAGATATGAGCAGTTCCACTGACAGACTACCAGATGTTTCTGCCAGCCTCACAGCTGTATCCTACTTCTAGAAAACATCTTACAAAAAACCAAGGCTTTAAAAATGATTAGATAGGGTTTATCTATTTGTATGTTAAAAGCATCCTTTACTCCTTAGAAGGTTCAATGGGGAATTACTTTAAATAGCTAGTACCCTTAATGTGCTTAAAATAAAATTTGATCTATAAACAGCATCTCACAAATAAAACAACTGCAGTAAGGGAAATGTAATTATAACCTTAAAATGACAATTATATGATTCTTTATATGGAGATGAATGCTATTCTTTTCTTTTATAATTTTGTTTTGAATGGTTTAAATCCATGAATAAAAGAGTATGTTCATATTACCTCATCATGTGAAATCATCCCAATGCGTCATAGTTTGTATTACTTTCCGTATGTCCCCACAGTGACTGGACACGCTACATGTACCCATTCAATCTGTCAGAAGACAACTAAATGTTCATTTGACAGGTAGTACAGGTAGCAAAGATTCTCCAGGATGGCAACATACCATTTAGGATAGAGCTAAGACAGTAATTTTCTTTTTACTTATTTTTCATTGATAAAATTGTGCCTATGTATAATGTACGTCTTGATGCATTTATACTTTTGGACACTCTAGAATGACTAAATCAATCTCATTAACTTTTCATCAGGAGAAATGCAAATAAACTAGAGGCATACGCTGTTGTTATTATATTGTAACATGCATATATCACTTATAGTTCTAACTGGAATTTTGCATGCTTTAGCTAACACCAGGTCACAGCCCTGCTCCCTGCCTCATGAGTACAACTAATTTACGTTCCTACGATGATAGAGCAAGACTGCCTTTTCTCTTCATCCCTTCCTTCACTTATTTTTTATTTTATTTATTTTTTGTTAATTAGGGTAAAGTGCAAATGCAGTCCCTACTACCACAAATTACACAGTAGACATTTCTAAATTTGGGGAAACTCCAAGACTCAGCACAGCCCATGTGCTATCAATGAGTTTTAATCTGGGAAAACCACTTTTGTGTTCCTTGTATCTTCCGTGTTATGTAAGTAATGTAATTTTGGTGAAATCTATTTTAACACGTTTGAGGTGATGGTTTGTGGCTGTTTTCTATTGGCACTCTCCAGATGACTAGTGACTTTAATGGCCTTTTCATGTATAATTTTTGTGTTTCAGTTATCTTTCAAAAGTAATTTCTGATAGTTTTGGCTCAAATTTTATATGCATTGACTTTTTCTTCTTTTGCTTTTGAATTGCATGGGTTCCTAAAATATTTCTGATATTAACCTTTTTTTCAAATGTATGGCTTACATGTATTTTTGCAATATTCTAGGTTGGCTCTTTGGTGATCATTTCATTTTGGGGAGTGGGGCAGAGGCCTTTTGGATTTATATAATCCCAATGATTTATTTTTGCCCATACTTTGGGAATGATGTAATCCAGATTCATATTACTATAAGGAACTAACAAGGCAATTATCTTATAAGTAAAACCAGTTTATTTTAGCACATGATTCTTGAGGTTCTAGCACAAGATCAAGTGGCAATATTGCTCTGGGTCTTTGGCCAGGACAGCATGTGACATAGTAAATCATTTACATTAGAAGCCCAGAAGAAGAAGAGCAAAATGATGGACTCTCAAGATCCCCCTCAGGAGATTTTCTGAATGACCAGTTGATAAAATAGTCTAAACTTTTTCACTGACTTTCATGCAACAATAGAGGAATGTGACTTACCTAAAATTTGGTGATATTTATGCATACATTTTTCTGTTATTATTTCTGTGTTTGTGTTCATGTGTTATGTATACATGAATTTGATGTATAAGATATGTGCGTATGTAGGTTAATATCCCCTTGTTTGTACGTGTAGAGGGCAGAGGGGCATGTTGAACATTATGTTTGATCACTCTCCACCTTTCTTCATAAGATAGGATTTATCTAGAAAAAATCATATTCAACATGCCCACAGCTCTGAGGTTACAGGCTCACTAGGGCATGCATAGGTATTTAATGTGGATTCTGCTAATATTTGTGTAACATGTGCTGTGGTATAGTCTCTGAGTCATGATTATTACAATATGAGTTCTTCCTCTGTCATTCTTGTACTTATAGTTGTACTATACTTTAAACATACCAAAGCCCTTTTCTTTTATTTTTGAAGTTATAGTATAATTACATATTTCTCCCTTCCCTTCTCCAAGCTCTCTTATATAATGATCTTTGCTCTCTTTCATATAATGTCCTCTTTTATCATTGATTGTTGGTATGTGCATATACATATATACATATATATTCCCTTTGTAGTTTAGTTTTAATGATTTTCTAAATTTTGAGGTTATAATATGATTACAATTCTACCTTTCTTTTCCTATTTCTATACTCTCCCATAAAACCTTCTCCACTGTCCTCCAACTTCATGGCCTTTTTTCATGAATTGTTATTGCATATTATATATATCCTGTCTGAAATATAACTGTCTGGTCTATATAATGTTACTTGTTTATATGTTTTCAGGTCTAACCATTTGGTGATGGCCAAAATTGTGTGTTTTTTCTAAGAGGGAACACTCGTTCTGCTCCTAAGTTTCCTTGGTTGTCTATAGTTCTTTGTGTGGTTGAGGTCATGTGGGCTTTCCCCTTAAAGTTTGGCACGTCTACTCGTCTTATCTATGTTCTACACACATTTGGGCAGCTATATTGATAAAACTATATAGATACAACTAATGTATATCCTGGAGACACAATCTCACAGCAAACTCCCTGATTTTCTGTCTCTTCTATTCTTGGTTATTCCTCTTCTACAATGTTTCCTGAGTCTTAGATAAGGGAGTTGTTCTTTAGATGTATCCATGAGGAGTGTGCTCCAACTCTGCATTTTGATTGGTTGGTTGTACATCTGCAATTTTCTTTGTCTGAAGTCCACTTAGAGAGCTGTTGGTTACTGCCAAGGTTTTCATAACACTAGTGTACCCTTAGGATTTTTTTTGCCATTTCTGTCTTTGTTTTGGTTCATAGGCATCACAGATGGGCAGGACTGTTGGTTACCTCCTTCCTTGGGAAGCCTACATGGTCCTACATGGTGCCTTCCAGAACAATAAAATCTGGTTCTCATGGAGAAGGCAAACACTTAAGTTTCATCTCAGAGGTCCCTGAGCCCCATGTCTGAAGAACATAGTATTTTCAGTAGTAAGGACTTACCTTTCACCTCTGGAACCACCAAGGACCATAGCAATAGCGTGTCTGTTTGGGGAGTCTCTTGGATAACCGTAAGCAAGAACTCAAAAGAGGGCTTTTCATGCCGGGGTTGGGGATTTTGTTAAGTAATCTCACTTTTGGAGAAAGCATTGCCATCTCAGATGAGAAAATTGTATTTAAACAATGTATGTATAATTATACACACTTACATATATAGGATTTTTCAAATGAATAGTTAATTGTATGATTCCTTATTACTCTTTCAGATGTCTTTACTGTTACTTTATCCTCATTCCCCATTTTCTGTGTTTATTTCCCTTCCCACCTCATAATTAGAGCCCTCGTTTTCTCATTTCCCAAGTTAGGTCTCTTGGGCTTTGTTCTTCCCCTCTCTATTGTTCCTTCACCCTCTCATACACCAGCAGTCATCCCATGCATGTTCCTGGTTTCTGAGATTACTCCACAATCTGTACTCACATCTGGGACTAGAGCTTGACCCTCTGATGAGAGAACACATGGCGTTTGTCTTCCTGAGTCTGGGTCACTTCACTCAATAGGATCTTTTCTAGTTCCATCGATTTACTTGCAGAGTTCATGGTTTAATTTTTTTCAGCTAAATAGTGTTCCTCATGTGTATTGACCTCATTTTTACTATCCATTCATTGGTTGGAGGACATTTAGATTACTTAAATTTCCTATCTACTGTCAATAAAGCAGCAGTAAATATCACTAAACATCTATGGAGTGAAATGTCAAGTCTTTTGAGCATGTGCCAAGGAATGCTGTAACTGGGAAAAATTTCTCTTCCATTCAGTGGATTTCCTCTTCTCATGATTAATGTATCCTTAGCTGTGCAGCAGCTACTTTTATTGTCTAAGGTCCCACTTGTCATAGCTAACCTCAATTCTTGGGCAAATGGAATCCTATTCAGTAAGTCTTATCTGATATCAAAACCATGTAGGGAACTGCCTAGCCTATGTTTTCTTGAAGTTGTTACAGTGTTATAGGTTTAAGTTCTTGATTCATGTGGAGTCAGTTTTGTGCAAGGTAGTAGACCTGGGCTAGTGCTGGGTCTAATTTAATTCTTTTGCTTGTGGGGAGCTCGTATTCCAGCACCATATGCTGATCATTCTGTCTTTTCTCCAGTTTATCTGTTCACTTGATTAATTAAAGAAAACACCTCATCAATGTGCTTTGATTTTATAGCTTAACTCTGAATAAAATCGCATCTTTGTTTATAATTATAGCCTGAGAAGGAGAACTCAAGGTGAAAGGAAAGAGGGAAAATAAAGCCTTATAATCTTCTTACTCATGAATCCACTGAAGTCATCATATCTGATATATTTCTAAGAGAACAATGAAAGTAATCAAGACTTTATGACTGGAAACCCTAAGCATATTTCATTCACAGATGGCTTACAGAGGTGATGAGTCTGTAAGAGAAATTTCTTTATGGTAACTGAGAACTGAAGTATGTGCAACCTATTATTCTTTATCTTTTCTGAGTCCCTCTTAAGAACAACTGAAGCAGGCAATGATGCATAAAATATCTGGACTTCTGCACTCTCAGATATTGGAAGACTCTTTGGAGATTTATTTATGCCTATTACCTTCATCTTAATTAAGCAATGACTTCCAGCATAGGAACTAGGAGCATCTTTTAGATAGCAGGCACCTTAATAACCATCTTTTCCAATTTAAATATATTATTTTCTTATCTTCTTTCAAAATGAAACAATAAAGTTTTAAACAAAAAATTTGTATGAATATGATGTAATATCTTCTTATTAATTTATTCTACTGGCTACATTATTGACGCATCTGATTTTGTAGGACAGAATTCAAGTTTTTGTTTAAGGAAATGAGAGTCCCTGTGATACCATAAGATTTGGTTTTTTTAGGGAAGCATAAAAGGGAATATCTAAATTTTTCTTCATCTTCATAGAAGAATCTCTTCACTACCCATGAAAAGAGTAGTAAACTTTAAATATTATAAAAGAACACTTTCCAAAGCTTGTTATAACTTTTGATATAGATAATTATAGCTACCAATGAGTTTGTCGCCATTTTGGTGGTCATATTCCATTTATATACATCATATACATGCAGTGGCAACATTTTTATAAAATATCTTAAATTAACAATGTTGAAAGATGGTGTCCATATCCCAGATCATTGGGTTCCATTAAGTTTGAATAAAATTAAATGAACTACATCTTCTTTGTGCAGATACTTATTGCTACTTATTGGGAGTAAAAATATTGGACATAAAAAGAAAAAAAGTTTTAGTTATATACCACCTATATAAGGAAGTTAGACCAGAAAGAAGAGATGTATACATGTTGCTAGTTACTGTGTTCTGAACAATTATTAATTTATTTACTTTAAAAAATAATTTTGGTGTTTTCCTTGCTATTCTTTATTTTTATGCAGGAATTCCAGGAGCAAGTGACAAGTGCTTCATGCTCCCTCATTCCTACTTAAATTGGTAGGTAGGTTCATCTCAGCTGACAGAAAGACAATCTTATTTTAATTATTCTGTTGAGTCATACTGTGTTATTGAGTTCTTTAATAGATATGTATGGAAACATGTTTTTACAGATTTAAATGATTTAAGCTCACCCAATGCTCATGATCTTATGTCAGAAAGGAGGAGGTTAAAAAATTAGGAGATTAATACCATGTCTCCTTGAAGCTGAGTGTCCATGATAATAAGAGTGTTTCCTCAGTGTTCTATGAGCATAAATTCTGTTCCTGCTTTTCTGGTAGAAAGTCTTAAATGCAAGTAAGCATTTGAGAAACATAAAAGGTTTCAAAAGCAAATTATAAACTGTGCATCCAGGGGAAGGCAGTAGGCA